AAAAAAATAGCTCCCGAGTCTTTCTGTTCCAGACAAAAAGCTAAAACACAATGGCAGAGACACGAAGAAAAAGTTGTCCAATCTTTTCTATCCCTCCTCCACGAGAGTGTACACAACATTGCCCTCGCGCCGGTCTATCTATCGACGGGATGTCCGTATAAAACTCCCTACATACCAACGTGGAATGGCTCCGCGTTGCTGCTCAGCCTGATATACTCTGCACGCCGTCCCCCCTGCCCTCAGCCCGGACTTTTACCCATATGTCCATCAAGCCCTTCCGGGACAGCTTGTCGCCCGAGCCCCCCTGGACCCTACGGCACCGCCCGCCCCGCCGGTGCTTGAAGTAGGCTCCTTCAGCCTCCCCGACGGCGCGGGCGCCCACTCCGCCTTCAGCAACCCCATCCGCTTCCCGCTGGGCTTCACCTGGCCGGTGAGCGGCACCTGCGCGGGCTGGGGCGCGGCCCCGGCCGGCGGCGGGTGACAGCGGGGGCGGGTGAGGCCCAGAGGGGGGACGGACCCTCCCGTGTCGGATCTCTGTGCCCAGCCCCGGTCCCACGAGCCCTTCCGTGGGAAGGCCCGAGGCTCCTGCTGAGTTGGGCTGGTCGCGGCCAGCCTTGCGCGTGGCACCCCAGGCCCTCCGCGTGGGTCCACCGCCTGCAGACCAGGACAGCCCCGCCTGCTGCGCGCAGTCTTTTTTTTTTTCCTTTTTTTTTTTAAAGTGATATCCTGTACTAACAGGCTGAAAAAACACGCCAGGAAATCACTCTTTAAAAAGTTCTTCCATTTCCTTGAGGAAAGTGAAAACACCACCCAGGTCGCTAGCAGCCACAGGCCTCCCTGATGTGCCCCCAAAGCTCAGTGTTTAAGAGAAGGTTCTAGTTTTCCTTGTCTCCCCGCTTCTCCCAGGGCACCTTCTCTCTGATCATCGAAGCTCTGCACACAGATTCTCCCGACGACCTCGCCACAGGTAAACACAACCCCCCAAGCCCCAGCACTCTGCGAACCCCTGTGCCTGTGGCTGAGTCCTGGACCCTTACTCTGCACAGAGCCACCGGGCAGCGGGTCTCCGTCCCCCTCGCAGGGTGGTCCTCCCTGCCCTGTCCAGCCTCCAGGTGCAGTCAGCACTCACAGGCACCTCTCCTGCAGAAAACCCCGAGCGGCTCATCAGCCGGCTGGCCACACAGAGGCACCTGACGGTGGGTGAGGAGTGGTCCCAGGACCTGCACAGCAGCGGCCGTGCTGACCTCAAGTACTCCTATCGCTTCGTGTGCGACGAGCACTACTACGGGGAGGGCTGCTCAGTCTTCTGCCGCCCCCGGGATGATGCCTTCGGCCACTTCACCTGTGGGGAGCGGGGCGAGAAGGTGTGCAACCCTGGCTGGAGGGGCCAGTACTGCACCGAAGGTGGGTCCAGGGTCCGAGGGCTGCTCCCCTCAGCTTACCCCCTTCCCAGGGAGGGGAGGGGCGTTCTGTGCGCCGGGATCCAGGCTGTTAGCACTAGAGAGGGGTTCCTCGGGGAGACCGAGTCTGGGGAGCCCTGGAGACCTGCCAGAACTTCAGTCAGCTGGTCTCGGGGTTGGGGTCAACTCAGACATTTTAACTTCCGCTATGGGAAGCTGCCCTTCTTAATCAGGGAGGATTTTGGAGACAGGCCAGGGGTCAGGAAGTCAGTGAGGGAAAGGGGGGAGGAAGGAAGGGAGGAACAGAGGGCAGCATGGGGTGTTGGCGTTGGTGTGTTGGCCGCTGTGAGCCAGTTCTCTGCTGGGGCAGCATCTCAGTGGAAAGTGCTAATTCTTTCTGAAGTTGGGGCACTTGGCCTCTTCCCAGAGCTCGTGTGTTTGCAAACACCCATGTGATGTGCACAGGCTGTCTGGCGTTGTCACCCGTGGGGTGGGTGCATGCGGAGGCCGGGGTACCAGGCTTGCGTGGGGGGGGGACCCGCCCGGCACCTCGTCTAGGAAAGAAATGCCTTTACAAGGGACCTAGGCCTCCTGCCCTGCATTCGGCTCTCCTGGCAGCCAGGGCAGACCAGCAGCTGCTCTGCAGCACAGGGAACCAGAGCTGGGGAGTGGGGGCTGTGAGGACCCTGCAGGCCCCTGGGCCTGGTTCAGCTGGACCCTGGCAGGCCTCTCCCCAGCCTGCTACGTACCCCCTGCTGCCTGCACAGCCAGGGGTCGGGTTTCCCTGCAGTCAGGGTGGGTCCTGGAGCTCCCAGACCCCAGGGAACCGTCCTTCTCCTGCCCTGGGGCGGGCAGCCTAGCGGGAGGTGCGCTCTCGAGTGGGTCTGTGCCTGGGGCGTGCGTGCCCTTCACTCTCCACCAGCTCCTTAAGCACTTGGAGTTCCACTCTGGCCCGAGCGGCTCTGTTGTCCTAAAAACTTGTGGAGCGGCTTGTTAATGAGTTTCATAACCAGGCATAACCAGACCAGGAAGCCAGCCAGCCCCCGCCTCCCCGCCCCCCCTCCGCCCCCCAGGGCCAGGCCTGCTGCTCCCTTCCCCACTGTCCTCTCTCTTCTTCACTGTGGGGTAGCCACAAACTCAAACTTTTTTCTTCTTATTCAAACACTGGAGTCTCTCCCCGCCCCCAGCCCGCGCGTGCCATCCATTAGATCCCGGCAGGGATAGGCGCAGGGACGCACGCCGGCTCCCATTGGCGGAAAGGGCGCGCGTGCATGTGTGTGTGTGGTGTGTACACGCCGGGGTGTGTGGGGTGGGGGCCGGGTGAGGGCCGTATTGTTGCACGGGGCAGCTGCTGGGAGAGAGCAGACAATGGAGCAGCTGTCCTGCCCTGGTCCCTGCAGACCAGCTGTCCACCCTTATCGACACACACACTTTCTGGGTATTAAGAGGTGGAGCTTTGTGCATAGAATTGGGAAGTGGGGGAGGAGATGGGGAAGGACTTCTGACCCTCTCTCAGAAGAAAAGGGGATGGGGTGGGGGTGGGGGCTTCCTCCATCTTTTGTCCCTGAGCGGCTGTGTTAAGAAGAATGCTCGCCCGCCCGGCTGAGTAAAGTCCATGGTTACCAGGCAGGACGGAGATTAGTTCAGGGGCCAGAGGGAGCCAGGCGAGTGCGGCCGCGGCCCTGTGGCCCTGGGAGCGCAGCTTGACCCCGTATTTTCTTTGCTGCAGCAATCTGCCTGCCCGGATGCGATGAGCAGCACGGGTTTTGTGACAAGCCAGGGGAATGCAAGTAAGTCTGCAAAAGCCGTTTTCTCTGCCTCGTTGTCCTTGTACAGCGAGTGTGTGTGTAGACTCTCCAGGTGACCACTTGTGAAATGCGTGAGAATAGCTGTTGGGGCTGTTATTCAGGTGTTTCTACCCCCTACGTGTATGGAAGTGTAAGGCCACGGCTTGTCAGTCTGCTCGGCTCCCTGGTTGTGGGAACTTACAGACAGCAGCTGAAAAAATGACAGTTTACTTGGGGTCAGACTTGGGGTGCATTAGAATCCCCTGGGGAGCTGCCAGATGACCCCAGGAGGCAGACCCTGGGGGCCCTAGGAGAGTCCCCTTCTTGTCTGTTTGAGAACCAGGTGCAGGTGCTGCTGGGAGGCAGTTTCCTGTGAGCGGGAAATGCTTTGTGCCCCTGGGCAAAGGTCGATGCCCCCCTGACCCTGTCCTCTCTCCCCTCAGGTGCCGAGTGGGCTGGCAGGGCCGCTACTGTGACCAGTGCATTCGGTACCCGGGCTGTCTCCATGGCACCTGCCAGCAGCCCTGGCAGTGCACCTGCCAGGAGGGCTGGGGGGGACTCTTCTGCAATCAGGGTGAGCCTCCTGTTCCCTGCAGGCGGCCAGGGCTCCAGCTCCTCCCTGGGAAGGTGCAGACTTCCCCGCCTGACCTTGGACTTCCCTCCTCTTCCTGTCCCACCCCTCAGACCTCAACTACTGCACACACCACAAGCCCTGCAGGAACGGGGCCACCTGCACCAACACGGGCCAGGGGAGCTACACCTGCTCCTGCCGGCCTGGGTACACCGGGGCCACCTGCGAGGACGAGGTGGACGAGTGCGGGCCCAGCCCCTGCAGGAATGGGGGCAGCTGCACGGTGAGTCTGGGCGCACGGGTCGGGCGCCGCGTGGTCCCTGGCTGGACACAGACCCCACGGGTCAGCGGAGCAGCTTTAAGGAGCTTTTCATCTTCCCCGTCACGTAGGATCTCGAGAACGGCTTCTCCTGCACCTGTGCACCCGGCTTCTACGGCAGCGTCTGCGAGCTGAGCGCCATGGCCTGTGCGGACGGGCCTTGCTTCAATGGGGGGCGCTGCTCCGACAACCCTGAGGGAGGCTACACCTGCCACTGCCCCGCAGGCTTTTCCGGCTTCAACTGCGAGAAGAAGGTGGACGCCTGCAGTTCCTCGCCCTGTGCCAATGGTAAGGGCAGCCCACGGAGGCCTCGTCGCGGGCTCACATTTAACCTCAGGCCAGGCCCGTGACTTTGCGAACCACCTTGAGCTTACGGAGCCCTTAAATCTGAACACAGAGACACACTGTAGGGATGTTGCAGGGGGAGCCTGGAGGGAGGGCACAGAGCTCGCTTGGGTCCCACGCCCCTCCCCGGAGTGCCTGGGAGCAGGCCCCGCTGCCCAGGCGGCGTGCCACCCTCCAGCCAGCCACCTGGTTTGGAGGGAAGCCCAGCCCTGCACTGTCACCCAGGTAGCCGTCTTGTGTTGGTGTGTCTGCGGGGAAATGTGGGTGGGACACCCTAAGCACCTCACAGGAAGGGCAGCAGGCCCCCGACAGGCCGGCCTTTCTGGAAGCTTCCAGAGCTTCACCCTTAGGACAGCCCCGGGAGCCTCCCGATGGAGGAGGCGTGTCAATCGCTCGGATGGTGAGCCGTCCTGTGGCCACGCTCTGGTCCTGTGGACCCGGAAGGCCCCATGCCCTACTCTCAGCAGCAGCGGGCTCCGTGAGGACACGACCCTGCTTCCCCCTCTCACCCTGCTCCCTCCTGGGCTCGTAGCTGGGCTGCTCGTCGTCTCTGTGACCTGGTCCCTCGTTGGGCGGCTGTTGGGCGCCGGGAGGCAGGCGGGGTTGTGCACCCGCCCGACACAGCATAGCCACTCTGGGGCCACGAGTGGCGTTGTCATCAGTCACGGAGCCAGCGGCTCCCCCGTGGATCTGAGGGAGGCAGAGGGTTCCTTGCCTTGAGCTGCAACCCCCTTCAAGCCACAGGCTGTCTGTCTGTCCCGGTCTCTCCTGTGGGTCCCGCCGCGGCAGGACACAGCCCGTGCTCCCTGTGTTTCAGGTGCGCAGTGTGTGGACCTGGGCGACGCCTACATGTGCCGCTGCCGGGCCGGTTTCTCGGGGCGGCACTGCCAGGACAACGTGGACGACTGCGCCTCCTCCCCGTGTGCCCACGGCGGCACCTGCCGGGACGGTGTGAACGAGTTCTCTTGCACCTGCCCGCCCGGCTACAGCGGCAGGAACTGCAGCACGCCCATCAGCCGGTGCGAGCACGCGCCCTGCCACAACGGCGCCACCTGCCACGAGAGGGCCCGCCGCTACCTGTGCGAGTGCGCCCGGGGCTACGGGGGCCCCAACTGCCAGTTCCTGCTCCCTGAGCCGCCGCCCCCGGCCCCCGAGGAGTACATGGAGGCCGGGCCCTTCCCCTGGGTAGCCGTCTGCGCGGGCGCGATCCTGGTGCTCGTGCTGCTGCTGGGCTGTGCGGCCGCAGGGGTCTGCGTGCGGCTGAGGCTGCAGAAGGGCCCGCCCCTGGCCGACCCCTGCCACGGGGAGACGGAGACCATGAACAATCTGGCCAGCTGCCAGCGGGAGAAGGACGTGTCCGTCAGCATCATCGGGGCCACGCAGATCAAGAACACCAACAAGAAGGTGGACTTCCACGGGGACCACGGCAGCGGCAAGAACGGCCCCAAGGCCCGCTACCCCGGCGTGGACTATAACCTGGTGCCCGAGCCCAAGGGCGAGGATGCCGCCTCCAGGGACCCCCACAGCAAGCGTGATGCCAAGTGCCAGCTGCAGGGCTCTCCTGGGGAGGAGAAGAGCACCCCGACACTCAGGGGGTGAGTGCTGTGCGTCAGGAGGGTCGTCGGGGAGGCCACCTGGGGAGGGCTCGCCGACACTCGGGCGTGCTTTGAGCCAAGCTGGGCGAGGGTGTTCTCTGAGCTCTGGTTCAAACATGTTTGCCTGGCCGGTGTGGCTCAGTGGATTGAGCATCGACCTATGAACCAGGAGGTCACAGTTTGATTCCCGGTCAGGGCACATGCCCGGGTTGTGGGCTCCATCCCCAGGGTGGGTCATGCAGGAGCCGATTCATGATTCTCTTTCATCATTGATGTTTCTATCTCTCTCTCCCATTCTCACTTCCTCTCTGGAATCAATAGATTTAAAAGGAAATGTTCGCACATGCTTACTGTGGTTCTGTTTTATTTTCCTTTCAGTAGGGATGCATCTGAAAGGAAAAGGCGGGACTCTGTGTACTCTACTTCAAAAGACACCAAGTACCAGTCGGTGTTCGTCATATCGGAGAAGGACGAGTGTGTCATAGCCACTGAGGTGGGTGTGGGCACGGCCCTTGAAGGCACGTACGGACTGCCAATCTGGACTTCGAGCTAACTTCCCGTTCTGTCTTGTTGGCCCCTCTAGGTGTAAAATTGAGGTGATATGGCAAAATTCCCGTTTCTCTTAAACTACATAGAATTCCAAGGATCTATGCCCCAACGGATGCTGCTGAGAGGGAAAAGGAGGCCTTCGCGACGGCGGTGGGACGAGGCCCCAGAGGTCAGCCAGCGGGGGGCTGCAGGCTCGGGCTGCTCCAGGACGCCTGTTGCACTCTGCTTTTCGCGACGTCTCCATTGCACTATGGACAGTTGCTTCTAAGAAATATATATTTAAATGAGTGGATTAATGACGACATGAGACGCATGCACTGCCCGGAGTGTATATTTTGGATTCTTATGAGCCAGTCTTTCTTGAATTAGAACCACAAACACTGCCTTTATCGTCCTTTTTGATACTAAAATGTGTTTTTTTTTTCTAGGTGGGAAAAGATGTGTGTTATTTTTTGGACTTGTAAAAATATTTTTCATGATATCTGTAAAGCTTGAGTATTTTGTGATGTTCATTTTTTTATAATTTAAATTTTTGGTAAATATGTACAAAGGCACTTCGGGTCTATGTGACTATATTTTTTGTATATAAATGTATTTATGGAATATTGTGCAAATGTTATTTGAGTTTTTTACTGTTTTGTTAATGAAGAAATTCCTTTTTAAAATATTTTTCCAAAATAAATATTATGAATGGCGGCCTGTGGCGTGCTGGCTTTCTGCGCGAGGCCCCGAGAACAGACACAGCGGGGCCCCTGGTGTTCCGTTTCTAACATCTGTTCTGGTTCCCTTGGATCGAGCGAAAGCCACCTTCCTGGCTCCTGGGCCCATTCAGAGGACCTCCAGCTGTCACTGTGGGGACAGCCGAGGAGCAGCCCTGACGGAAGCAGCCCCGGCTACTTGGCGACCCGGCCGCCCTCCTTCCATCTTCCTTCCCAAGGACGGAACAGACACCATGAGGAATGTTCACGGCAAAGACTCTGACTTAGAGAGATACCGATTCTCGGTTGGTTTGTGGGTTCATTTCCAGTTAATTCAAAAGAGTTAGTTGCCTTCTAATTCAATCCAGTTGTGATGGGTTAGCCGACAGTAATAAGATTACCAGCGCTTGCTGCAGGCCAGGCCCCGGGTACGCCCTCTGTGAGCCATCTCGCCGGTCCTGAGAGTGATGTCATTGCTGGTCATGCAGAGGGAACAGGTGTGGGGAGTGAAGTGACTTGTGCAGGTTTTTCCCCCCCAAAAATGTATTTTTATTGATTTCAGAGATGAAGGGAGGGAGGGGTAGAGAGAGAGAGAGAGACATCAATGATGAGAGAATCATTGATCGGCTGTCTCCTGCACGCCCCACACTGGGGATCGAGCTGGCAACCTGGGCCTGTGCCCTGACTGGGAATTGAATCAGGGACCTCTTGGTTCATAGATCGATGCTCAGCCACTGAGCCACGCCGGCCAGGCTTGGGCAGGGTTTGTAAGTGGCAGTGTCAACCTTGAAGTCTGGGAAGCTGGCTCCATGCGCCGAGTGACCCTTAGTCATCGTCAGAAACGCCGCTGCTTTGAGAGCGAGACCCACCGCTGGTGTCTTAGGTGGTTCCAAGGACGGGTGCAGGTGTCGGCCCTCAGACTCGGGTGTATTTCTGGGTTGGAGGGAACCGACCGGCAGACTCCCTGGTCCCAGGGACAGGAGGTCTTTGCACTGGTCCTGACTGTACAATCAGAAGTTCAGGGATCTTCCTGAGGAGGAGAGGCCGGTGTGTGTGTGTGTGTGTGTGTGTGTGTGTGTGTGTGTGGTGGAGATGGTAGGCTGAGACCAACAGCACCCCTGCACGCTAGGTGGCTGGTGCTTTTGTATCTGAAGCAGAACCTGACCCTCCAGCCACCTGGCTTTGGCTTTGAATAAGCTTCTAAGTCAAGGACTCTGCAGACAACTCGGCCACGGGAGGAAAGACCAAGGGAGGGAGGATGTCAGCGGCAGGCTCCCAGCCCCTCCTCCCCCACCTGCCCCTCGCTGACCGGTTCTCTCTGTCGTCGGGCTCTGGCGAAGGGTGGGTGAGCTCGTGTACGACCGTTAACCTGGAGCAATGGTTGAGCACTTCCTTTTACTTTCAGAAGTGACAGATATGGGAAATAAAGTAAGTGGCTCATCTATTTCCAAGACTATGGGCTCTGCTGAGACTCCTGTCACGTCCATTCTGTGAAAGAGGAAGAACCTCCAAGTTCTATCAGGTAACCTCCCTTTCATCCTCCCGGCCTCCTGCCAATCAGAGATATGCTTGTCTTTCCTCCAGGGCCCGCAAGGAACCTGCCTGAGGAACAAAGTGAGACCCCCCGGCAGCGTGGGGGTCCCAGCGCTCTGTGGATGAGGCTCCCACGTCCTGGCAACGACGCTTTAACTGGACGTGTAATCAGTTGGTCTCTCCGTTTCTGGGTTTATGTCATTTGTGGCAGGAAATCCAGGTACCAGCCGCATAAACGTACGGGCGTTAGGGACCAGCTGTGCCCATCACGCCAGGCAGTGCCCAGCATGGTCAGCCTTGGGTCATGTGCTCCCAGTGCCAAGTGTGCTACTGGGAGTGAGAAAGGAAGGCACAGCCACGCGCTCACAGCCCGAGTTAAAAATAGCCCAGGAGCCAGGCCGAGCTCCGGGTCCAGTTCTGGGAAGTGGCTGGCCCCTCCCAGCTGCCTGGCTCCGCGCTCCAGGCTCCACGGCCGGGCCTTCGGGGAAACCAGTGGGGAAGGTGAAGCTCCTTTTCCTTGTTTTTTTCTTCTTTAACTTTTCACTTGGTCATATGTTTGAACCTCCAGAAACGTTGTGAGAATACTACAAAGATTCTCGCCATCACCACGCTGTCTGTCGGTCACCCCGTGTCTGTCGGCTGTCTGCGGCTAGGATGCTGAACCGCCAGTGGGGACATCTAAACCACTTCTAGTCACGTGAACGACTGGGTCTTGAACCCTCAACCGTGTGGCGTGCGGGTCAACGCCCCAACCCACCGAGCCCACGGGCCAAGGCCGGCATCACTGCTCTCGCGTGGGTCACGGTCGCTCTGTGGCTGTCGTGGCGCTGCCTGGCCTCTGCGCTGCCTGACCGCCCGAGCGCCTCACTCTCAAGCCGCCGCCGTGCTCTGCCTGCGAAGCTGTCTTCTCAGCGGTGGCGGCAGCAACTGTGTTTCTAACTTTGTGGCTCCGTGAACCTCAACGCCACGAGCAGTCCCCGAGATGTACACGGGATGACCTATGTCGGAGCCGCAGGGAGGGGCTCCATGTCAATCACGCATTCTGACGTGCCTCCACACTCGTGCTTCCCACGGTGGATTCCGGGCACGTTGAACAGACAGGCCCACGGAACCACTGAGGAGGGAGTTTTGCAAAGAAAATGGAACTTGAGTCTGATCAGACCGGCCAATCTTCCTAGTTCACAGAAGGACAGGGGACAAGGAACACGGTCTGGACATGGCTGGGATCTGCCCAGCGAGTCCAGGCAGCGGCACGAGGAGAAGGAAAGGCCTGGGGACTCACGTACTAGGAGACGTGGCGATTAAAAACGGTTAAAGCAAACCCTTCAAGCCGATTGGAGGAATGTGAGCTGATAGTATTATACATTTGAATGATATTAAAGTATGTTTAAATGTTTTAGGTGTGAAGTTATTACTGCTGAGCTAAACAAAAAAGAGTCCTTCACTTTTAGAGAAAATTTCTGAAATACATATGGATGAAACATTGCCATGTCCGGATTTGCTTTGAAGTAGCCTGAGACGGGTTATGTTGGCCAGTGGGCTGCGGGTGGCGGTCCTGGAGCCAGCATTGAAAGAACGTACCTCGGGGAGACACTCAGACACGTGCCAGGAGTTACTGCTCTGTCCGATAGAGATTTGGGGAGTTTTCCATCTTTGCACATGAATTCTCAGATCAGAAATCTTGCAAGACCAAAAGCCAAACAAATCAAATGGTTGAGATGCAGGGGTCTGGTTCAGACCCAGGCTCTGTCCGCGTGGCCAGGCACTCGTGACTGCTCACTCTCCTCGTCCACGGAGCCACCAAAGGCTCCCCAAAGCCCAGCCTGAGGGAGCCATTCCCTGCTCAGAACCAGCCAACAGCTTCCCACGGCTTTGAGCGCAGAGTTCAAAACCCTTAATGTGGTTGGGCAGGCCTTCGGTGATGCGGCTCCGGTCTCTGTTTTATGTTATCCCCACATGGGCTGCTGGCACGTGGCTCTCCACCCTCCCAGTCCTGAGACTCCCATGTGACCTTCCATCCACTGTGCTCTCACTTGGAGATGCCGGCCCAGGGAAGCCCTTGCTGGACCTCCCTGACCCGGTACCTGCCCTGCCTTCCCATGCCCTCCTGGCTCGGTCAGCAGGTGTGTTATTTGTTTCAGGGCTGTGTCCTGGGAGACGGCTGAGCAGAGCCAGCAGCTTGTTAGCTGCACCCAGTCCCAGCGGTGGTGCCTGAGCCAGAGAGGGCCAACCCCCGGGAGCGTGCGTGTGCACACACACACTCACACATGCACACATGCACACATTCACATATACACACACTCATACATGCACACACACATCCGCACATACATACACAGACACTCACACATGCACACATTCATACACACACTCACACATGCACACATGCACACACTCACATATACACACACTCATACATGCACACACATTCGCACATACATACACAGACACTCACACATGCACACATACACACACTCACACATACACACACTCATACACACACTCACACATTCGCACATACACACATGCACACTCACACTCGCACACACATACACACTCATACACACACACTCATACATACTCTCACACATACATATACACTCTCATACACACTCACATACACACGGGGGGACATGTGTAAAAGTGGGCAAGGACGCTGATCACAAAGGAAGTTTTATTCTGTGTTCACGCTTCTCAATGTCACTCCTAGTTTGGGGCCATAACATGAAGCCGGATACTGGTATCATCTGGGGGGAGGGCCATGTCACTTTGCTGTTATTCTAATAAAAACACGGTCACCTGGACGCAGTGTAGGCCGTGAGGGCGTTTGCTTGGCCTCCAGCACACAAAGTGATATGCAGCCCGCATTTCCTCAACGTGAGTTTCACAGAGAAGCTACGAGGAGGTTAAATGGTCTTTCTGCTGAGCTGAGCGTCTGCAGAAGGTCGAAGTGGAAGCCAGCACTTCGAGGGACCTGAGAGCAGGTGTGGGGGCCAGGCCTCAGCACCCGTGGGCAGGGGCGTCTCACACCGGCCGGGCGTGAATATTCCCATTTTAGGGAACCTCTCTGACCCACCTCACTTTCCTCCTGGGAGGTGGAAAGTTGTCCTCCGTGATTTCTTGGCAAGAAGCCTTGAAAAACAACACGCCCTCCCTCTCATCTTTCTTGTTTCTGAAGGAAACATCAACTGCTCCGGCAAACGTTGCGTGGTAACTCCGGCCGACACGGGCACGAGGACCTGGAAGTTAAGCCATCTCGTTTGGGGTCTCTGACACCTCCTTCCTCTCGGACAGCCAAGTCTGTGCCGTGGGCACTGGCTTTACCGCTATCACAGCGGAATCAGTGTTAACAAAAGGTCTGTTTCTAAGTTACCTTGAACTTTGAAGGAGTGGAGCAGAGGAACGGGTCTGCGTGCAGCCCCGGGCACCACGACTGGGCTCCGTGAGCACTCATCTGTGCAGGCA